TGCCTGAGGTACAGAGCAAGCTCCACAACAGCCAAAGCTATATGAGAAACCCTATCTTGAAAACAAACAATCCCCCCACCTCTCAAATCAAATAAATCAGACAAGGCTGAGAGCCCTCAACTTTATCCATCTGGCCATGTCTGCCTGTCTGTGTGGCCACCTACCATCCACCCACTCAGCCACCACCCTCCATTTGCCCTCGGACCTGCACACGCCTGACATGTCACTCCACTGAACTCCGGCCTGGCCTGGCCCCTTTCTTCTTATCTGGGCCAACACTATCCTCAAGTAAATGACAGACACCATATGCAAGGAAGTACATTAGCCAGACAGTACGTGCTTATAATCAAGTGTAAGGCTGAGGCAGGACGGTTACTTACTGCAAGCTCCTGCCTGGCCCACTCTCCAAAAGGAAAAGTGAGGCCAATCTTTCCCACAAACAGAAGTGAAAGCCCTAAAATATTGTCTTATAACTGGGGCATGATTTTTCTTGTGCCACAGGACTCCAGTCAAAACACTGTCTGCCAGATTTCAAACATGATCTGTGTCCTGAACACTGGGGCGTTCTCAACCTTTAAGACTCAGACAAGAACTACAGCAGCGGTGTCTCCAGCCTGTGAACTCACTCTGCAGATCTTGAGGAGGTATTGTGCTTCTAAAACCACTCAAGCCAGAAATTTCTAGTAAGTCTCCACATACGTTCATGTGCTTTTGGGCTGGAGAGAACTCAGCCACTAAAGGCTAGGCTCACAACCAAAAACACAGTTGTATGTTTTCATGTGTATGTGATTCATCTCGACAGTCACATGTAGACATGTATATTCACCTCCTTTTGGCTATTTCTCCAGAAAAACCCTCAGTAATTTGCATGCTATTATCCCTTCTGTTTATATCAGACATCCCAGCCAAGGGATTCAGGGAAGAAAGGCTGGGAAAGGCGTAGTAAAGTGGTGGCTTTGTTTGTTTTTCACTTTTCATTAGAGCACCTAACCTTTATAGCAATCTGTATCAGTAGGAAATTATGTCATTATTTCACTTAACTCACTATATGATCCCATGAGATGGGAGGAGAAAGGAGAACCCAAGAAACAAAGTGGGTGGGCGGGGAAACAACATTGAGTAGCATGTTGTCAAGCGCATTTCTTCTCTCCACAAAAAATCCATCTCTACAGCTGATGGAATAGGACAAAAGCTGCGGACCTAAAATGCTAACAACTCAGTCTGCCACTAACAAAGAAATAAATCACAATGTGCTAGAGAAATATAAGGCACATACTGAGGCCTGATTAATCTTCCAGATGAAGGAACTGAATAGAAGTAAAAATGCTGCTATTACTGAACAAAAACACAGAACGACAAAAGAAGCAAAGAACTGGGGCCAGCAAGATGGCTCAGCAGGCAGTGGTGTCTGCTGCCATGCACAATGATCTCCAGGACCCACGTGGCAGAAGGACAGAACCAATATCTGCAAGCTGTCCTCTGCCTTCACATGCATACACATGTATACACACAATAATCAAATAAAATATTTTTAAAAAAGAAGTAAAGAATTGATCAGTGATGGGAGGCTTGCTTCTCATCTGCAAGGCACTGGGGGCCAATTCCCAACAGAGTTAAAAAAATAACCAATACCAAAACAAAGGAGCCATTAAATTCTCTTTGCAAGTCAGACACGGTAGCTCACAGGCAAAGAACAAGGATGCAGCCCCCTCTGTACCCACGTATATTACACATCTGCAGAGAAATAAATGGATGAAAGCACACGTGGCTAGAATACACAATGTCCCAAAGGACCTGTAGGTAGATTTGACTATGCAAACTCTGCCCACTCTTCTTTCCAGGGTCTCAAGTAAACCCAGGCTGGTTTAAAGTCTTGATCCTCCTGCCTTTACCACGTAAGTGCTGGGGTTACAGGCTCATACCACCACATTCTACCAATATGCTTGATTTCTGCTTTTCAAAATGAAATCCTTAAGAATTCTACTGAATATTTACTAATCCACAGGAATGTCTGTCTTTAAAGGTGAGTAAAACAAATTACTGAATGTTTGTTCATTAATGATGTTGTAATTTAAGAAAAGCATGGTGCAAGAGAAAGACGACACACACAGGGTTCAAGCAGAGGGTTTTTTTTTTTTTTATTAGGGAAAGGAAGCCCGGGCAGTGGTAGTGTATGCCTTTAATCTGAGCACTCGGAAGGCAGAAGCAGGTGGATCGCTGAGTTTGAGACCAGCCTGGTTCATAAGAGCTAGATCCAGGACAGGCTCCAAAGCTACAGAGAAACTCTATGTCTAAAAAAAAAATGTGGGGGGGGGCATGGAGGGAAG